TGAAAAACAAGTAGTAAATATTCTTAATAAACCATTAAATGAAGAAGCATTTTGTAGGAATAGACTTCGACTTGGTATCCTTCGCATTTAATTGTCTAAATGTGTTTGTTAGAGAGAGAATTTTTCTATCTATATGTTTGATTAAGGAGGAGAATTTTTTTTTTTTACCATGCAATAATTATTTTATTAAGGGGGAGCTACAAAGGCTTCTTTCGGTTGATTGAATAAGGGGGCGGTTCAATCTAAGACAGCGTTGTCTTAGATTGAACGACAATAAAATAAGTCGACACACATTTCGACGATTGGCCAAGCGAATAAGTCAACTTCAAAGTGGATTTGTTGTGCGAAGAGACTGCAGCCTAACACCCAAGTTAGCTTGAAAAGAATCAATAGTTTGGACAAAACTATGGCCATGCAGTAGAGTTTCTGCTTCCGCATTTTTTATAATAACAAAAGGGGGAGAATAAGCCACTTTGAAAATGTATTTTCTTCGGTGGTTTGTCATCATCAAAAAGTGGGAGATTGTTAGATTTATGGCTTCATCAAACTAAATATTTTGATGAACACAAACCAAGTATGAACTAACAATTTGAGTGTTTTAAAGTGTCCATAGCATAGAGTTCGAAAAGACAAAACCAACGCATGTCAAATCACTCAAATCAGAATTCAAAAGAATAATTTATAGCCAAAACAAGTTGGGGAAGAAAAAGTACATGTGGCAGGTGACATGGCATCTAATAGTCAAATTATGCCACTGTGGCAATGATACGGCAGTAAAGTGGCATCAACAATTTTGGTGACGTGGTGGATGACGTGGACAGATCATGTGACGACACGTGGCGTTTTCAATCTTAACAAATCAAATTCCCACAATTCTCTCAATTCCACAATCTTCTCTCAATTTCACATATAAACTCTCAATCTCCTGATCACTCCACAATCTAATTTCTCAATCTCCACAAATTTCTTTTAATTACCATAATTATGTTTTTATTCTATTTCCTTACCTCATCCCTTAATCTACACTATTGATCTTTTGTTGCCCTAAATCCAATGGCCAAAATTCATCACCGAAACTCTATTTAAAGCCTCCAAATTCCACCATTCTACACACCAACTATCAAAGCCATTTGTTTCAAATCCTCCTCTCAAATTTTGCAAAATCTTCATTCTCTCCTACACATAACTTGTTTATCTTTTTTTTTTTTTTTTTGTGAGAGATAAATTAGAGTGTGGCTTTTTAGCGATTACTTTGGTGCAAAATTTTGGGTAATCCACTTGTGTTCTTTCATTATTTATTTTCAAATTGGATTTTTTGTTAAGGTGTGGATACACCTTGGGTTGTGAGAAAAGTAAATTGGTTGGATCCTGAACCAGTAAAAACGATCTTGTGTTTCTCTTTAGCCTAGGACAAAAAGAGGGTTGATCGGTTTGGTTCTCACCAATAAGAGAGTCGTTGCAGTAAAATATCCAAGAAGAAGACTTGGGGAGTAGAGTAGGAATTTCTAAACCACTATAAAAATTCTCGGTGTCACTCACTCTCTTCTCTTCTCTCTTTTAATTTCAGTACTTATCTATTTTTTGAATTATTTTGCTATATTGAATATATGTTTGCTTACACTTTTTGTTCAATAATTCTTCTTCTCGATTAATCTTCTTTTGTTGATTGCATAATTGTTTGTTATCCTTGAATTTATCTTTAATTTTTAAAAGTGGTAGGCAACCCTATTCACCCCCCCCCTAGCGTTGTCATTCGATCCTACATCATCTACTTACCCTAAAGCTGAGAATGAGTGGATTTCATCTTGTGTAGTTATGTTCTCAGCTTCTCGCTTGGTCTCGTCCCCAAAATGTTAGGAATATTGAGTCGGCGACCCAKGCCACTCTCACCCATACAAATCAAATGACGATCCCTTATAAGCAGGAGTCCATAACTTAAGGGATCGTCCTTAACTTACTTAAGATTGAAATTGAGTTACCTGGTCTTTTTATGAAATAATAATCTATTAGTTAACGGTGTTACAACTAAAGATTAATTATTTCGCGGTCGGGTCTTATACAAACTCATTGCATAGGATACCCCCACTCGCATGTCTCCACATGAACGATTTGGATTAAGTAGTTTGTAACTATTACAAAGTGGGTTGTATGCATAGTGTTACCAGGATAAGGTACCCGACCTTACCCATATACTATAGATCATTTAGGTTATTACTAGAACATTATCCACTTTTATATCGTATATATACTGTATATTAAATACATACCTTGTATATCAATTATGTATTTTATATTAAATATATACCTTGCATATCAATTATATATTGTATATCAGTTATTTATTGTTCCAATTACATGACATAACCTCGGATGTTAAGGATTTGGGTTAATGCAATTCTAAAAGAAACTTCAATAACAACTTTATTCAATAAATGTTTGTTTTACCTTTTCAAACCACTAGTTTAGGACATAAAACCCAACACGATGTTGGAGAGTGTAGCTTGAATGAGTGCCTCTCACCTTTGGAGATATGAGAGTTCCTCCAAGATTGAAGCCATGGAGCCCAAGATGATGCAGAGGTATTAGGTCCTCTGCCAACCTTACAGCTGAATTTGTTGGCAAGGAACCCAACCGAATCATCTTCCATGTTGATGCCGATAATTTCAGATTTTTGGAGATTAACCTTAATACCCGATGATTCTTTGAAAGCCTAGATAGAGTGGAAAAGATGTTTGGATGGCCTTTTCAGCAAAGATGGAAAACAAAATTGTATCATCGGCAAATTGGAGGTGGATATGTAATGAATCATCCTCCAATTCAAAGCATTCTATAAGATTGGGACTGGCGGCAAGTGTTACAAGAACATCACGATAAACTGAATTTCTTCTTGTAGCTATAAGGTTAAATTTTAAGGGTTGAGATGATCTCCTTGCCACCGATGCTAATTTGGTCTCATGAAGGATGACAATGGTTGGGTTGTGTTGAAGGATGAGATCTGAGATCTTGGATAGAGCTTGATTCTTCCAAGTGCCTAACACCC